CTTCTTCTTCTTCTTCTTCTTCTTCTTCTTCTTCTTCTTCTTCTTCTTCTTCTTCTTCTTCTTCTTCTTCTTCCCCTGTCTGGGAGCTGACCCTGCCAAGAGCCACTAAGAAGCAGATGTCCTTGGGTCTGAGATTAAGAATCTCAGTATTACTAGGAGTTGGGGGTAACTTGGAACACTGACAGAAGGGAGATCATGACTAGTGTACAACTGTTGAATTTAAACAAGACAGCTTAGAGGCACATTGCTAATTCTGTGCTTTGAGGCACCAACCCTTTCATGACCCCAGAGTGAAATCAATACAAAACTCTGCTCCAGGGCCTGTTTTACACTCCCCTAACCGGGTAACCTAGTGACCTGTGATAGAGCCACGTGGGAGAACATCTGAGGAGTAGCAATCTGACTTCTCAGGACATATCCCAATGGAATACCTGGCATTGTGTAAGAGTCAGGCTTAAGTCTGCAGCTTCAAACAAGCTCAGACCTGCACACAGTGTGCAACCAGGCAAGACTCCTCTGAGTGCTGGCCCCAACCACTTCATCTGTGAGATGAAACCACTTTGATGGTGACTTTCTCACGTGAATTCGGGGCGGGGTGGAGGCATGGAACACATATCACAGTGCCCTCTGTGTAGCCAGTGCTTACACAATGCCCGCCTCCCTGACACCCGTTAATTATAGAACCCTTACTGTAGAATTCAAAGTGGCCCTAATCTTCCCTAACGGGATTACTGTGTGATAACACATAGAAGTGTGGTGTGGACACACAAATGTCACTCATTGTCACATGGGGAAAAACAGCTTTATAAATAACCACCTGTTGCTTTAATGCCAAAAGATAAGAAAACAAAATCTAAAGACCTTTAGCCATTTGGTTTGGTTTATATTTGGAAGATAAAATGCTTAGAAACTCAAGCATGTTGACTCATGCCTGAAAGCCCATACTGGATAAACTGAGGTAAGTGGATTGTTACAAGTGACTTATACTTGTATCATATGACTCTGACTCAAAAAAAAAGATGTTTATAATCTATTATTATTATTGTGTATTTATAACAGGGTAGGGTGGGAAAATGGCACCGTGTTACATGTAGAAGCTGGAGAACAACTTTGTAGCAATGTTTTTCTCTCTCTCCCTTTACGTGGGTTCCAGATATCAAACTCAGGTCAGCAGGCTTGCATAGTCATCTCACTTCCCCTCATAATCTGTTTTTGAATAACGCGGAAGAATATTGCTGCAAAACTAATAAAGCATCCAGATATACCTTATGGCATGGAGAGATGCAAGCAAAATAACACCACTTAAAACCAGTGCTTGCCCCTTTTTGATGAGACACAGGTGTGGTTCTACTCTATGTATTTTTGTGTTTATTAGCAATTTTACAATGAGCAAATTCTGCCTTAATAGACAAAGGGGTTTTAGCATGTTAGTCCCTTGTTCTATAAAAACCATCTCTTTCCATGGGGATCTCTGTAGTAGTAGAGGACTTAGGCACAGTAAGGAATTTTACAGTGGTTAATATCAGCTCTGACACCCTCAGATCCATGCCACTTAACCATGCCAATGGTGACTACAATTTAGTAATTTATTATGGAAAGGTTGGTGACTATTTATTAAGTAAATGAGTAATTCCATTAAGATGAGATTTTTGTCATAGGAAAAAATGTTCTATCCCCATAACACCATCTAAAATTGAAGGGAAAA